AAATATATGATAAATTGATGTGGGTACTCAAATGAAAGCTCTTGATGAGTGTAACATCGGGATGAGCTTATATCTTTTAAAAAACGTCAATATTTAAGAAAGTACAGTGCAATTTAACAAATATCTTGTGAAATATTGACATTTTTAAAGATATAAGCTCATCCCGATGTTATACTCATCAAGACCTTTCATTTGATTACCCACATCAATTTTTCATATATTTATATATATTATATATATGTATATATGACAAATATATCAAAAATGCACGTGGGTACTCAAATAAAAGCTTTTGATGAGTGTAACATCGGGATGAGCTTATATCTTTAAAAATGTCAATAGTTAAAAAAGTACAGTGCAATTTAACAAAAGTCATTATTCAATAAAGCAAAATTTTGTTTATTTATAGTTTAAAAGTCTTAGCAGTCACATAGTGACTGCAAGGTTACTAGTAACTGATATCTTAATTAACAAATTATGGGTCTTATTAACGTTCAAACATAATTATTCTTTAAAATTTCATTTTTTATATTTTTTTCTAAATTTACTGTAATTTATTTATACCTTAAATCAACACTCTGTTCCTCATCGGATATTATTATTAATCAATGTACTATTACCCTCTGTAATAAATGTGTCATTAACATAATTCATCGATTTAAAAAAAAAAGTTTAATGGTTAAAATATTCAAAATATTCGTTCCCCAGAGATGTCACGCTGAAAAATAAGTTATCATTGAGCGAAAATAAAATATGTATTTTTTATAGCAATATATTTTCCTCAACCGTGAGTCGTTAGATTAAAATTTCAAAAAAAATTTATGATACCTACGAAAGCTTGAGATATATCATTTCTTTACGCTTGTTAATGTGATAATTGATAATTAAATAAAAATCGGATGATTTATTGTTTTTCCCAAAAGAGAAAAATTTCTCTTCTGAGAAAAGTTTTCAGAAAAAAAAAACAGTAAGCAGTTAAAATTTTTCTGCTGCATTATAAAAAAATTCTCGACCGTAACTCGTTCTGCTAAATTAAATATAAAAGTTTATAAATTTAATAATGATGACAATAATAATAATAAAAAAAATAACGATAAAGTAACAATAAATAAAAAGAAGAAGTTTAAAGATTAAAAAACAGAGATTGAAATTGAATAAACTAGAAAAATTGTTTGGGGAAATAAAATACACACAATGGATAATGTACAGATGATCTAAGGGACTAACAGATTGACAAGGGTGAAATAAACTGTCGGATGGAGATAAGCAAATATATACGTACATATTTTCTCGGATACGCCAGATTTGTATAGCTTGGAAAATTGTCTTAGAGCGCTTTTATATTGCTTTTTATCTGCACTCGTATTACTGATTAAATGTTTGTGGTTTTTTTTTTTTTCCACAGAGCAAGAAGATAAAGGAAAATAAAATAGGGTGATATTTTTTGACCGACAATTGACTCAATTGTGTGACCTTAAGTTATAAATAAATTTATACAAACAGGTATAAATATCCAGATAATTGAAGAAAAATTTTTTTTGGTTTCAAAGTTTTAAAAATTTTGAGAGCTATAAATAAATAAATAAATTAAATTTTGCTTTATTAAACAATGACTTTTGTTAAATTGCACGGTACTTTTTTCACTATTGACGTTTTTAAAGATATAAGCTCATCCCGATGTTACACTCATCAAGAGCTTTCATTTGAGTACCCACATGCATTTTTGATATATTTTTCATATATTCATATATATAATATATACAAATATATGAAAAATTGATATGGGTACTTAAATGAAAGGTCTTGATGAGTGTAACATCGGAATGAGCTCATATCTTTAAAAATGTCAATAGTTCACGAGATACAGGATCATTTCTTGATTATGTATCTAGAGATAGAGAATTGATGAGACCAAATTTAACCCTAAAAACTTATTTTTTCCTATAAATATACACTGGCCACAAAATTTTGCTTATTCTCTTAATTATATAGATAATAATAATTATTATTATTCTGAAAAAAAATAAATTGATTCTTAAAAAATTAAATAAATAAACACAAAAAAGTTGTAACATAAAAAAACTTCATTTCTCAGAATCTAGTACTGCATATATAAACAAACATGCATGTTTAATAGCACTCGTATTCATATTTTAGCATATCCAAGAGTTGTTAAACTAAAAGTTCATAAAAACAGAACAAACAATCAAAATCCACCTGTGCGCTCTTCAAGCTATTTAAATTAAACTAGTTTCTTTTTCCGCAGAAAAGTATGAAAAATTAGTTCCTTTGTTTCTCGATTCGAAACAAATATAATACATATATATATATATATATATATAAAAACCATTTTATATTAAATTTTATTAAACGCTTTTGTTTAACTTTTCTGCAATTGTACTTTCATTTCCACGGGCTTTGCGCCTTTCAAGGCATTCAGCGTTATCTACCCTCGTGGAACCTCATGGACCCTGTTTTAATAATCCATTGGTTTAGTATAGATGTAACATCTAAGTTTATTCCCAATGCAATTTCCGGGAAACAATTATTTATTTATGCTACGCCTTTTCTCTGTTCTTCGCGAAATTACTGTTTTATTTAATATACTTCCCTCACAGATAATGTTTATTTATTAATTTTTATTACCATAATTTATTTTATTTCAAGTACAAATGCCGATGTGTATTTCATCTTCATTGAGAAATTTTGCAATGACAGTATTTTTAATTAATTTTAATAAAGGTTAATATTAAGTTTTTTTTTTTAAGAAAAATTTCAAACAAGCAAAAATTTTCTATAAAATTTAAACATTGAAAATTATTAAAAAATATTCTATGGTTGTAATTAAAAATTATAGTATTAAAACTTTCAATAAATTGCTATAAATAAACTAACTATAAAAATTATTTCAGGTAAAAATCTCATTAATGTTTTAATAAAACAAGAAAATTTTTCGCAGTATCAACTTTTATTTTTTATTAAATTCAGACTATGATTAAAGTAATTTTAGCGCCATTGATGCTTGGAATTTTCTCACCAAACTATCCGGAATGTAGAGAAAGCCATTAATTTTTTACTACCCTAGAATAAATGGGGAGTGTTTTTATTCTCAATAAAGTGCGAAATCTACTGAAAACTTCCACATGGAAACTGCTCCATAAAATAAAATTTTCACTACACTAAAAAAAAAAGCTTAGACACTTTTCTAGAAACTACAACTTTTACAACGCTCATCTAGTACTTTATGTTGAATAAATAATTTTATAATGTAATTTATCGATGTTATTTCGGTGTCTCTCGTATTTAAAAAATTAATATTTATTTATTGAACCTATCGACCGAACAAGCGCTCGCTTTCGTATAATTTTAATTTATTCACATACGAGAAAATATATTAAAAATATTGTGAATATTTAAACTCCAATAATAAATTCAAAAGTAATTAACAGCTTTATGTAAAACAAAAATAATTAAATAAATGTAAATTTGATTACTGCTATTTTTTATTGTTCAGCTTTTCAAAAAAATTAAAAAATAATTGAACGTAGTAAAAATTCAAGCGATTTTCTTTTTTAACAATAAAATAATTTATGTGTATTTGTCGAATTAAATTGACAGTAAAAGTCAATCTCGCGGTGTAATATAATGGCGGATCCTTCTAATTAGTCTGAGATCAATTAGCGTAGTTTGAGTAACCCCACGGGTTAATGTAACTGACTTTATATATATTATAAACTCTAAACCGCAACTTCCGAACTATATTACCAAGTTATAATTAATTATTATAATTAATGCTGTATTTTTTTTTCTTTTTGATACTTAAAAATCTTGTAAATTTTTTCTTATTTATCCAAAAAATTTCATTTAAATTTCACTATAAAAATATATATTATTTAAATTTTAATATAAAAATATATTTTATTAAAAGATTTACAAAAAAAATAATCTGATAAAATCTATAAGGGCAAATCGATTAAGCGAGGAATGATAAAAATTTTTTTTTTATAAAATTCTTTACGAAGAATAAAGGAAAAAACTTGCCGTGAAAAAAAGGAAAATAAAAATGAAACTCTGAGATTTTAAGCTTGCTATTTTTTCCAAGCTCAAAGGGTTAAAGTTATCGACTATCGTTTGCTTCCGAGAAACTTTATAAGAAACGAAGAAATCAGTTATTGTTTACAGCTTGAGAAATTATAAGTAAATACATGATAGTAAAAAATGAATAATGATTCAAAATTAAAAACTAAATAAAATAATATTTTTCATCAAGTTTATTTGAATAGAAAATTTAATTGTTTTTTTCTAAGAAATAAAATCAAAGGAATAACTTATTGCATTTAAGTCGGTTAATTAGTTTGAAAGTTATTTTTGAATTACGGAACATTTCAGAGTTAAATAGTTTAAAGTTTTAAACACGTCGTGAACACTCATTAATGTTTTTGATCACAAACTTTACCGAGTTTTTGAATTAAAAATATTGTACAATTTATAATTAGTGTATAATAGTCTAAGAAATTTATAATAATCGTTAGGCTTAATTAAAAAAATTTTTTTAATAATAATAATGATAATAATAATAAAATTACCTGAAGCGTCGATTAGTTTTGGCGCGTAATTAATTATTTTTAGTAACTTTTAAAATATTATCGAATTGACATAAAAGTATTGTTAATAATTTTTTTTTAACATTTGGAGGGTTAATTAGTATCCGTTGTAAATAAACGGTATGGACGGCACGAGATGTGACATGCAACTAACCGAGAAGCCAGCCCTTGTGTTCTACAGGCGAATTTCACCCCCCTTGTCTGACTTTACGCCGGCGCAGCCTCCTACACGTGATACCGGATAGGATTTAATCACACACACTTGAATAAAATAATTAATGATAATTTCATTTATATTTTATTTACCTTTTATTTTTACCTCGACCGTTTCATTAAACACACCAACTGTTATATTTCTATCTTGATTGCTCCTTTCATATTAATTATGTTTTACAGTATACAATAATAAATTCGCTGTTCATGCAGTACACAGTGTTCGCGCGATAAATAAACGTTTCATTTTTATTATTTTCGGTTCAATGTTTTTATTAATTAAATTGTAAATTGTAATTTATTTTATCTGGAATAATTGAGGATATTTTTAACAATCGATTACAATTTTTTTTTTCTTTAATTTTACAATTATTAATTATTAAAAAAATGAACATTTTTATGAATGATTAAAAAAAAAATTTATGAATTTCATAAAATAGGTATTGAATTTTATTTTTTAAATAACAAATTACATTTTTTTGTTAAAAAAATCGTTGAATAATTAATTTTATTTTTATAAGACCTGAATCTCTTAGTAATCGATTAAATGAAAAAAATTGCCAAAAAATTCTAATTAAAAATAATTCGGTCAAATGTTATTATCTATCGCATAGATTTTATTTAATTAATAATTTATTTTTATGACCGTGTTAGAATTATTATAATCATTTTTTATCCCTTTGAAGACTAATTAATACTTAATAAATTAAAAAATTTTTTAATTATTTAATTAATAATTAAAAATACATTTTAATTTAAAATTTTATTTCAAACAATTCAAAAATTAATATTAAATAAAATTTTACAATAAAATTTGTTTTAACAAAAATTATTTACAAATCTCTTACTAAACACCTTAAAGCTTAATCCTGAGAAAATAAATCGACGAGTCAGTCTAATATATCCTATAATCAGAACCTTAATCCTTCACTGTCGATTCAGTATGTTTCTCATTTCTCATTACAATTACCATTACACTTAAAATTATCCGACATAAATAAAAAATACATCCTAACAAATTTTCGCTTTAAGCGAAGAAATCTTAATTCCAAAATAACCAAGAGAGTAATTTTAAATATTAATGACTCAATATTTTTATTACTAATTCATAAAATTAATTTCAAAACATTTTGCTACAATTTTAAAGTTTTAAACATTAATTCGCTGTTTTACGCAAGTTATTACACAGATAAACAGAGAGTAGTGTTTATATTATTTTTGGCAAGTAAATACATGCAAAGTTTTCTCATTAAATAACTATTTAGTAGCATCTTCGGCTAGATAGGCAGACACTGTGACATGCCGGTACAGATTGAAATGAGAAAAGCAACGATCTAGAACAATAAATCCAATTAATTTAACCGAATAAAAGTCTTCGGAGCCAATCAACCTGGATGGGTTTCAAGGGCTTTGAAATTTTCTCAGTTAAATTTATCTCTTTGTCCGGAGACTCCAGATTCCATTTGTTAGCTCTAACATTTTTATCATTCATTTCCATTACTTCATCGCCCTGAAACACATTAAATATTTCTTCAATTACTTATAATAGATTTTTCACAACCTAAGTTGAGGTTTACGATATTAAATAAATAATTCATCCCTTATTTTTTGAGAAGAGAAGACTGAAAAATTAATTAATTTTTCTTTGACAGTATAATTTTAGCTTTAATTCAAGTTAAGAACTCGGAGGTTATTGCACTCTCAATTTCGACCCCAGAAGAAACATTGTTAAATAATTACGTGCTAGTTTTATTGTAATTTATAATTATGTCTGCAATTGACTAAACGCGTAATAAAAAACTCATTAAATTTTACAATTCAGAAACACAGAGCTTGTTTCGAACTGTCGAACTGCTAATTGAAAGCTTGCGATCCATCGAGTTTGTACGACTCTATTCGATTTATCTACTGTCTCATTACGCGGACTTAAAAGTATGAAGACATTTGTATAGATGGAGCAAATTAATTAATTAAAATACTAGAAAATAATTTTAAGAGTTTAAAATATTTTTTAATTTGAGATTAAGTTAGAGGATATTTAAAAAAAAAAAAAAAAAAAAAAAAGGAATTATGGCAATTGAACTTAGAAAAAATTTCTTTTAATTGAGAAAATTTTGAAGATGTCAAAAAATTTTAAGAATATTTTTTTATAGAAAATTTAACTCTATAAAAATATTTTTATGGATTTTTTTGTACTTTTATTTAACTTCAAAGTAAAAAAAAAAAAACTTGAAAAAATGAAATAATAAAAATTACAAATATATGATTTTATTATTATTAAAAAAAAAAAAAAAAATAACGTTATTGTGAATATTTTGAATGTAATACTTGAATAACAGTTGACATAAAAATTTGTTAATTAAATTGAATATTTTTTATTTTATCATAAATCTTCCTTAGCTAGGTCTTATTATTCGCCGATATTTTAGCTTGTAAAATTTGAAATTCAAATTATAGAGGAAATTTTAAAGATGCAAAAAATTGTAAGAATACTTTTTTGTAGAATATCTAGTTTATTATAAAAAAGCTTTTTTTTTTTATTTTTTCGTATCTTTATTTTACCTCGATAAATAATTTTTAATCAAAATTTTAATCTTCAAATTGTTCAGTACAATTAGTTAATATTTCCGAAGTTGCAAGTAAAAAAAAAAAATTTTGTCCAGAAAAAAATTTGGTAAAATAAGTCATTTAATTTGCTTATGAAAAAAGTATGACAAAATTAGGTTGAATCACAAGAGTAAGGATAAATCCGATTTGTAGTAAAATAACCTTTAATTATTAAAATTTTTTAAAATGTTTAATTATTTTTAATTAGTTTTTGTTCGCGGTAAAATTAACTATTTTTTGTTTTATATTTGAAAGAAAGTGTACTGATTAAATTAATCTACAATTTTTTGAGAAGCTCGATAGACTTGAATTTACAACACTTGTCCAAAATTATGATACAAAATTTATTATTTCCTTACAAAAATAAAATAAAAATGACTTTATTTTTGATAATTGATAATTTAATAATTAAATTCCATAATTTTTAATTAACTTGTAAAAAAATGTGAGACCAGTTAGTAACTCATATTATTGTTAAAAACTAAAAAAAAATTTTTTTAATTTTAATTTTAAAATATTACTAATTTATAATTAAAAAGTTTTAATAAAAATACCCACTATTGTCCTAAGCATATTATAATTATTGTTATAAATTCTGGTTCTTCCATTTAAACGTGAATATGGTTGATCTTTAGTACCATGAATAATCAATCTCACATCATTGATTGTTCCATTATTAGACTGTGGACCAACCTGGAAATAGTTTATTATTAAAATACTGAAAAGAAACCTTTTATAAATAGACTCTCATTTATTTATCTACAGATTTTGGATTGATAATTTTTATTATTCACCCGAACAAGAGTGAAAAATAATAATAATAACAAGAGACACATCGTCTATTATTTACATTGTCAGTAATATGAAGAGTCCAAGTGCCTCTTGGGTCCTCACCCCAGGTTGCAACTGACATAAATTTCCAATTTTTAAATCCGTCTTGAGAATCGTCGAGCTTGCGACGATTCAATATTTTTATTCTAGTGCCTGGAAAAATATATTAAACATGAGATAAGCGTCCGAGAGCTCGTTGGAAAAATGAATAAAAAAAAAATAAACGTCAACAATGATATTAAGAATATTAAATATCTAAAAAAAGAATACTCGTAAAACAGTAAAAAATATTAAAATATAATATTTCTTACCGGTAGGTGAGGTCAAATAGATTTCAAGAGCTCCGCGAATTGTGTATGTAAGAGTTATTTGAATTTGTACGTGTTCTAGAAAATCTACTTCTGCATCTTTATCCTCGCAGCCGTTCACGTTGAACGATAGAATCCCAGGTTTACCGTAAGCCACATTTTGTGAGCTGAATAGTAAAATATAAATAAACAAATAAAATTTTTATTTATCGAACGACTTTTTAGTTATTTAGCCGCTGGAAGGGAAAAGAAAAGATAAAAATATAAAATATAAAACAAACGTTTTTATGACACATTTTTTTCGACCGTAAACTGCTGTATATAGAATACAATTTTTTTGTCACAAAAAATTTGATTATTCTTTTATGCAATGAGGATTCAATATTGATATGATATGGATTTTTCAGTTATAGTTTTAGCATTCGTTTGGATGGCTTAATAACTGAACATTTGATACGCTGACTGAAGAATTTATTAATTTATTCATTGATTATAAAAAAATATTTTTTAATTTTTGATAAATAGTTTTTTGGGAAAAAAAACTACACTTGCGAAAAGTTAAAAAAAAATTTCATTAAGGGGGACTACAGTCATCTCTAAATTTCAATTTTTACTGTTTTTAAAAAATTCGAAAAAGTCAAAAAATGCGGTAAAAAAAATATTTTTTTCTTCAGGCAGTCGCCATTTTGTAAAAAATTTTTTTCAACTTTTCCGTAGTTCCAACCATACCCAGGTGGAAAAATATTATAATGTCATTATAATGATTTGCCCATTATAATGTCATTATAATCCGTGTAAAAAATATTTATTTTTCCAAAATTTCTCAAAAAAAATCTAAAAAATACCAAAAACTCTGCTTTAAGATAATTAGGTTTGAGCTGGAAACAGTCATAGCGAGAGAGGTCAATTGATAACTTTAAAATAAAATTTTCTGAAGGATCAGGAACTCAGCACTAAAACGTTTTTTCCATAAGCTTTACTTAAACGATTAAATCAAAAGAGGTTTACACAAATTTCACAAAAAAAATTAGGAAAACGGTTGACCTTAAAGGCCATCTCTACAACTTCCCGCTAATTCCGATAATACATGGCCTTTTTTTTGAGCTCTTCAAGCTTAAAAAGATACCTTTTCTGTGCTTTTGCGCTCTTTTAGCTCAAAAGTCTGATAGAAGTTTCATAGAACACTATTTTTTGAATTTTCAAACCGCAATATCTTTTGAATGAATGAACCGATTTTTACACGGTTGGCGGTATTCTACGCAGTTTTTTAAGCCTCATAAAGAATTTCTAAATTTCAATTGGCCAAACTAGAAATTTCAGAGTAACTCCGAAAAAACATTTTTTTCGGTTTTCTTTCGTTCACGATCTCTCAAACGAATCAACCGATTTTGACCGGATTGGCGGCGATCGACGTAGTTTTTCAAGGTTGAAAGCTGATTAGTTTTTGGAATCGATCGGTAGAGCCGCTTAAGAGTTATTCTAAAAAAACCACTTCTAAAAAAGATTTTGTTTGCTTGCTTTTACCATTAACTTTACGAAGTTAACTTTAATATGTTGGGTTATCATTTCGTCTTATACAACTATCGGTTAATTTATGACAAATAAATATTCTATTTTATATAAAAAAAACCTGGTGTTGAGGTTCCAATCTTTTCTAAAATTTTATTATGAAGTTATCATAATATACCTTTCTGGTTTTGACTGTTTCCAGCTCAAACCTAATTATCTTAAAGCAGAGTTTTTGGTATTTTTTAAATTTTTTATGAGAAATTTTGGAAAAATAAATATTTTTTACACGCATTATAATGACATTATAATATTTTTCCACCTGGGTAGAGTGACATTACTCTAGATTAATAATCTTTTTTATTTTTTTGTTTCCGATTGCTAGGAGCGTTGGAATCGTGGGTATCGTCATGTGCCAATTTTTTTAGAACCCTCCCACTTCATCAGCTGCTAATTTTTTGAATTTTTAACTTTAAAAATTTTTTTAATTTTTTTCTGGATTCTTATAATGTTAATAAATAACTCATAAAAAATGGATGGTAAAAATATTGATTGTCTTTTTTTTTTTGCGGCACTTTAAAAATTACCTGAAATTTCACGCTCCTAGACCAGAATACTTCCTTAAAAGTTAATAATAATTATTTTATCTATTTAAATTATGGGATTATCTAAAAAGTAGAATTTTTATACTTATTTTTTATTCAAAGGTCTACATAAATATTAATTAATAGTTAATATATATACTCATTAATTACTAATAATAATTTATTATTAATAATTTGTCTTTATAATAAACGATTTCTTAATTTTTGATAAGAACTTTTTTAATTATTCATAAATATTATCACACACTAAAAAATTTCCGGATTTAATGCAGTGGATGACTATTAATTGATTTCATCACTGCGGAGTGAATTTTTAATTTTTTTTCTATTAAATAAATAAAAATAAAAAATTTTTTTTATTTGTTCAAAAATTACAAATTGCGTATTAAGAAATTTTATTAATTAATACAATAATTTTATATAAAAAATAAATTTAAATTAAAAAAAAAATTGCATATCAATAATTTATTATTAAAGTTACCTCTGATGACTTTTAAATGCACACTCAATTTTATCAGGAACATTTGTCCAGTTGGCAGCAGCCTGAACTAACGAGTAAGCGTTCATTAATCCAAAACCGAATCGTGGATTGAACCAATAGCCAGCCGAATTTTTTTTCCATCCAGGATTATGCCTGCAAATGAACAATAATTCATTATTAATAATCAACATGAAACTTTTCTTTAAAATACTGCACTTTTCTTTTCTTTAAAATAGAGCGTAAAATAAAATTAACGTAAACTTTTATGAAAGAAAAAAAAAGACTGCGGAGTAAAGTAAAAAGAAATTTAACATGATTAGAGACGAACTTTTAAGTTTTCACCTTCTGTTGGACCTTTTTTCTGGTTTCTTAAAAGCAAAAATAATAATGAATTTAAGTTTAAGGAAGTCTGGCGAATTAAAATAATTAAGAGATAAAGATAGAGTTTTCAACAAAAAAAAAAAAAAAAAAAATAAATTAGAGATCTTACTTGAGTGGACTGTATTCTGAAGTCTCGACAACGAGATGCTGAGCGTCTCTCCAAGTGAGCTCTTTGCTTGGTAAAAGACAAAATTACATTCGTATTTATTTATTTCTTCATTAAAAACGCTCAGATTTAAAATTAAATCTCGCAGTTATAGTGTCAGCTGAATTTTTCGCTAATTTTTATGTTTGAGCTAAAAAAAAAAAGTGTAATTACTTGACTTGTAATGCCAAAGCGAGTATTCCAGCAGCGAGTGGAGCCGAAGCGGATGTTCCTGTGTGACGAGTGGTACATTTGTTTTTTAAATCTGTCGTAGCCTGGAAGAAGAAATAAAAAAAAGTTTGGGAAATAAAAAAATTTATGACTCATAATTTTTATTAAACTCACAATCATTTGATCATGGTAAGCCCCACTGCTGTAAGTAGTAGCAAGAGTAGCTGGACACTTTTCCCCGTACCAGGGAAATTTTCCAGTCTGACTAGCAGAGCCGACGGCAATTGTGAAAATGCTTCCGACGTAACCGTCGCAGTTGCAATCGTCTTTCTGGGATCCCCCGTTTCCGGAGGCCCAGACGTAAATATTTCCTCTGCCGTGACGACCCTAATAATATTTACTGTATTACACAAACTAAATCTTACACCCGTCTTAAATTACCCTCACTAATGCTATAACTTAAAATGTAATATATAACGTAATCCAACTGATCTCTCTAGTTGAACATAGCATTAGCAGACGTTCTTCTATACTCAAAGCTTTCTCTACTACACTTTTTTCCCCCTAATGTCCTCCACTTTAAACTCCGGAGCTTAATGGTCCTACGATCCAAATCTGCAGAGCCTTAACTACTCTGTAATTTATTTTCTAAAAATTAGCAGCGAGAAATTTAACCTACTGAGAGTTTTATTTTTAATTAATTAAAGCTGTTGATACTAATTATTTATTTATTAAAAAGTTTTTTTTCGGTGTAGCTAAAAATTACCTGACTGACTCCGCGTTGCAAAGCCTCATTGGCAAGCCTTCCAGGGGCTTCAAGACTCCTTCCATCATCAGCAGGGCCCCACGAAGCTGTGTATATATCAATATAATTTTGGTTGTACCCCAAAGCTTCCCCTTCAATCCTATCATTCACAATTCCATCGAGTAATTTAATTCCACCGATTGAAGCTTCATGTGCAATTCCGACACCACATTTGAGATTGTTGGCCTCCATCGCTATTTCTCCGGCACATCTTGTTCCATGGGCATTCACATCTACTTAAATAAAAAATAAAGAGAATCAATTGGTGTTTAATCAAATCAACGAGTGTCTGACTTTGAATATATTATATATTGTTTCAATAAAAATAAACAGCGAAAGCTGACACCTGTTGCGTCGTAGCGGGGGATCGGATCGTTATCCCTGGCATTTACGTCATAGCTGATCAGAGGATCCTGGAATAACAGATTGGTTGATAAAAATAATAATCGTGTGTCCGATCAGGGTTGTTGGCGGCTGCTGGAATAACAGAGATAAAACGGGGATGTTATCTTACGTAGTTGTTCTTGAGATCATCGTGGGTGTATTCCAACCCGTCGTCGAGAACCGCCACCCTTATCCCGCGACCTGTTATCCCCTGATGATAAAGCGGGACCACGTTCAAATCTAGCTTGGGTAGTTCTTTGCTGCTGCGCGTGTCTTGCTGCAAGTTATTTTGTTTGTTGATAGATGGCATGTTTAATTTAACTTAATAGTTTTTTTTTTTTTGTTGAAATTAAACTTTTTAGATTTGTAATTTTTAAAAAAAGAAATCATTTTTACATTTTGATGAAAAAAATAGGTGATTGTTAATTTGTTCTATGAAAAAATTTTTTTTGGGATAAAAATAATATTTACAGTATTTTTAGCAATCATACACAGGAAAAAAGGTTCACTTGAACCGAGAAAATATTCTTCTTCATAATTATTTTCTTGGGCGAAAAAAAAATTTTTTTTTGACACAAGAAATTTCACTTATTTCAACAAAATTAATTCTCTTGCTTCAAGAAATACGTATCTTGATCCAAGACAATTTATTTAAATCAAGAAAATTTTCTTGTTTTGAGAAAATTTTTCTCTTGCTCCAAAAAATTAAATATCTCGATAATAAATTTTTATTGACGAACACATCAAATGGGAAGATCAAATAATATTGAACCATTTTCTTTCATTCAATATGTATAATTGCGTGCTAAAATAATCTAAAATGGGTATCAAATATTCAAGAGAAAAATTTTCTCAAGGTGAGAAAATTTTTTTCTCAGCTGAAATAGATGGCGCTGCTTCCCTGAAGTATCTAAAAATCTTGATCCAATATAAAAATTTATTGTATCAAGGATAAATGATAATTTGAATTAAGAAAAATTACTTCCACCAAGAATAGAATTTCAAGAAAAATTTTTACTTCGGCCACTACAACTTCGGTCTTCCTTCAGGCACCCGAAAATTTTCTTGAGCCAATAATTTTGTTCTCCAGTCAAGAAATTTTTCTTTATGTGTATGTTTTTTTTATTAGGTTCATTGAAAATAGAATTATTTGCAATAATTCTACAGAATAAATCCGTAGATTTATATAAAAAACATTTTTTGGTATCAATAAAATTTTTTTTTAACATTAAAACCTTGAATACTAATTGTAAAATTTGTTTTCATAATTATTATTATAAATTCTTCACAAATTAGCAATTTAAGAAGATGAATGGTTAAAAGTATTAATTTTTCGATTTTTTATACCAAAAAATTAAACGACCGTAAAATAAATCTACCAAAAATTAACCTGATTAGAGAAGAAATATCTTGATCCAAAAAGATCTTTTTAAAAAATTTCTTTAAACTAAAAAAATTCATGGCAGTGAATTAGCAGTTATATATTAATCAATACTTGTTAAATTAATGATAAAAAATAATAATAAAAAATAAACGTACCAAATACCACTCCTTATTCCACAATTCATCATTAAAGAGCCTATCATTATTTTTTCCATAAGAATTATAAAACCTATCAGCATAATTTCTATACATAACATCGTTGACATGAAAAATTCTTTTATTCCGAACCAGCGGTCTTTCCTCCTCTGGAATGTCAACAAAGTCCCTCTTGCTGCGCGTAAAAGTTTTCTGTTGGTCCGCCCAAATAATCTACCCCGAAAAAAATCAAATAATTAATTCCTCGCCCTTAAAAAAAATTAATTAATTACCTCCGAGTGTGAACTTAAGTCCTTAGTAAATCTGTTGGCTCTCTTCTGAACAGTGTTTTCATCTCGGTACCACAAATAAATATCTTCGAACCCGAGGACCTAAAGGAGAGAAAAAAAAGACAAATTAAGCGGTGAAATAAATGAAGTGAATAAATAAAGTGATACTTATAGAGTATTTGATATCCCAGTAAATAATTTATCAATTTTTTGTTCCTACCGAAATGATATGAGACGTTTTTATCGATGGAAGTCTATATTGTGGTGAGTTGATTTCGTTGGGGTGACTTTTATTGGAGGGTGTTATATACTATAAGGAAAGTTGTGAAAATGTATCACGGGTGACGAGTTTTGATTCAGTCCTAGGGGACTTCGGTATTGGGATGTCAGGAATGTCTAGTTGGTGAATAACTTTATTATACAATTGCTCAAATTCATCCCATTTTACTCTACAGTTGATACAATTTATAAATATATATAGATGTAAATGTATATGTGTAGAGTGTACACTCACAATAAGGGTTAAAGGTGTACTCTACATCTACATAACGACTGCAATCGTTTAAAAAGCACGTTCTGCGGTTAATACTATTACAATTTACGGACTTGATGTTGTGAATAACTTAACTGTGAGATGGCTATTGTACGTGACGATACTATTCCTATTGGTTTTTATTATTTACGAGAAAAGAGGTGAGCTTTATACTAGAAATAAATGTCTCAGTCAATAAGAGGATGGAACAAATATTTTTAGTTTTATTGTCGCGCTTTTGTTAGTTCACCAAATCGAGATAGTTTGCGTACTATTTCACAGATGATTTAATCAGGATTAATTCTGTGCTCTTAAAATATTTATTTGGTGGGATAAAAATGAAAACTAAAAGTTTAAGTTGTCAAATATTGCGAGGGACTTTAAATAAAAATTAAAAATATTTTTTTTTTTATTGAAAATTATTAAACTGAAAAATTTATTACACTAATGATAATTATAAAGTAAAAAATTTTTTGTGTCAAAAAAATTTAAGTTAAAAAATTATATCAAATATTTAACACTTTTTTGTGGTAATTTGAAAGAATTAATTCATAAAAGTGTTAAATATTTAACTTAAAAATTTTTAACACTAAATTTTTTGACGCAATTATGCAAAATTTTTTACTGTACTGTTGATTTAACTTAAATTATTTTAACTTAAAGATAATAAGTTAGATTAAGTCAAAAATTTTTTGCCTTAAAATTCGTTTTTTCATTAAAGAGAAATTTTAAATCTAAAGATCAAAAAAAATTTTATTTTCCTTTAAAAATATAAAATTTTTGATTTAAGACCCACTTTTTTTTTTAATTTACAATACCAAAAAAATATATTTTTCTTGAACTCTTTATTTTATAATCTTGATTCTATTCCCAAATTTCTGTAATAAATTCAAAGTATTCAAAGTAAAATTAAAATTAAAAAAAAAATATTTTTTTTAAATCAACTATTTTGTTTTTGCAGTGTATAAATAATAAATCTTGTCCAAAATTACTAAACCATTACAAAAATTTCATCTTACGTTAATTAATTTAAAAAACTATTATATACTTGATGGGAGAAAATGAAAATTCTTATATCTGATGAAAAAAATAACTAGTTAATATTAATTGCGCTCAAGATAATTATAATTAATGTAAACGTTTAAATAAAAGATTTAAGAGCGTCCGAAGTGATTTTAATTAAAATAGCGACTGAGGGCCAGAGAAGAAGTGAGAGATGGAAAGTAATTAGCAAAGTGATAGAGACATTGAAGGATGAATAGAATCTAAAATAAAGAGAGAGGAGCCTGGAGAAAAAGTAAAAGTAAATAAACAGCAAGGATGAAGGTAAATGTAGATGTAGATGTAGATGTTAGGCTTTTCATTGGAGACTGACGACGCCTGCGGAGGCTTAGAGACAAGGGATTACACTGGAGACTGGTGGGAATCCGATCAAAACAAATGGACTACGAAAATACTACTCGACCCTATACATGAGAAGGAAGGCTACACGGTATTCTCTTCATCGTCCTTCTATTTGGTCCTTCCTATTCTCCCGGTATGTAGAATGCTGTCTTTATGTAGAATGTAAAATGTGAATGTACAAGACACAGCATACAAAACCTCCCCGGCTCCATCCTCATCAATTCCTTCAGCTCTTCACCCCTTTCTCTTCACCAATGTTCTTATTCTGAAATCGCGTCCTGTCAACCTCCCGATTCCCCGAGGACCTTCACTGTCTGCCTGCCAACCCAACGAAGACACAATCTGAATACTCGATAAGATGAATCACTTGGTTGATCGTCAGGCAATGACTCCGTCAAGAGATAAATGACATTTTAAGATTATACTTTTTTCATTTCCTAAACTTTTTATTATCAAGGTGATTAAGCGATTTATCCTTCGATTCAATTTATATTTAAATTGAATTAATTATTTTTACAAGTCATCTAAGGAATACTTTAATGTTTTGGGAATAAAGAATGTTGAGATTAATTAATTTATTTTAATAAACCAGTTTCTTTGAAATAAACTTGAAATTCATTAATTGCACGCCTTATATGCGAAGCGTTGAGGTTGTGCTCTACTCTCGACATTTAAAAAAAAAAAGCAGTTTTCTCGAAACTGAAATTGATTTTTTGTTATTTATATCGCACTTACAGATTAATATGAGTACACTCATATCAAGTCAAATAATTTGTCAGGCACATAAAATATATTTCAATAACACACAGAAAAAAAGAATTATTTGTCTCAAATAAATCAATTTATTTGAGTCATTTTTTTAAATATTTCTTTGTGACAACCATATATATTTGGTACAAGTAAATATAACAGTTGACTCGAATTATTTTATTATTAGTCAGAAATATATTATTTATTTGTGGTAAAGATACTAAGTTTATGGTAAACAACGGCATCTTTGAGGGTACCAGTCAAATGTTGAATTCTCAACTACTGCGTGCGCATATTCTTCGGACGTCACCCGAACTGACTCTCAAGTGACCGCCATTTTCATTAAAAACCTTTGTTGTTTTTTTTTTTTTATAACAGTGCGTATTATTGTATGAATTCTCAATTTTCAATTTTAAATAATTCATAATAGTGATCGAAACGATGGAACAATTGTTAATTAATTGTTTAACTGTCGGTTTAAATGATCATTTAAAAGGATACATAGTAATATTACCTGATAAAAATACCACTGAACAAATTTTAATTTTCAATATTAATAATTGTTTTCGTCCAATAAAAGTGCATGTTACAGCTGAAGGCAACCATATTATATCTAAAGGTGATTTGAATTTTTAATTGTATTTCTGTTCTAATAAAATAAATTTAAAATTATAAATTTTTTATTTTATAGTAGTGCTATAATAACCTAAAAATATGTATAATTAATTTTTAATATTTTAAAATATGCATTATTTGCGTCAACTATCATTTATTTACCACAAATAAATCATATCTTGACAACAAATAAATCACTTATTTGACACAATTAAATAGCTCAAATATATCGTATATTTCTCACAAATAAATATTTATTATAATAAATCTTATTCAGTTCAAATAATTCTTTTTTTTCTGTGCAATTTTTTTGTTTAACATAGTAAATAATAACATTAAACATAATCTTTTATGGACGCCCGTGTATGGATGAGTGTATGTGGCAGGAAAATTGGTCAAAAAAATGATCGTACCGGAATAATTTTTTTTTATTATTTAAAGTAACAAACTGAGGATTTTCTCAATTAATATGAGCGTTCAATTCACTGTCGTTAAATTATTATTTACAAAAAATTGAAAAAATTATATAAGAAATGACCTTGTATCTTGTGAACTTTTGAAATTTTTTAAGATATAAGCTCACCCTGACATTACACTCATCAAGTCCTTTCATTTGAGTACCCACATCAATTTTTCATATATTTATATATATTATATATATGTATATATAAAAAATATATCAAAAATGTATGTGGGTACTCAAATGAAAGCTCTTGATGAGTGTAAGTTAAAAAAGTACAGTGTAATTTAACAAAAGTCATTGTTTAATAAAGCAAAATTTTATTTATTTAGAGTTCACAAATGACTGCAAGGTTGCTAGTATTTAATAAATTGAACAAAGTGTTTCCAAGTAAACAAATTTATTAACAATAAATTCTTCTATCATTGTATCTATTTTTTAAAACAATAATACAAACAAAAGTGACTAAATAGTCAAGTTTAATATTAAAACTCTAATACAAAAAATGGCAATATTACCTTGTGGTAATTTTTACCGTGAAGATTACCGACTCGGTAACTTTACCCGGTAATTTTTCTATGGCAATGATTATTAACATACTTCTTGCAAATTATCAAAAAATTCAAATATTTAATTGATTCATTTTTGTTAGACAACTTTTGAACCAAATCATACTTCAATAACCCCGAAGCATGACTAAATCCTCTAAATCATAACTTTGATCATTAAAAATCCGTAATTTTGACAAAAAATTCCTGATTTAAAAAATAATCTGTAATAATTCCAGCCCAAAATAGCAAAAAAACTTCCCCCTTTCTCCTGCATTAGAAATTTCAAATAAAATATAAATGAATTAGAAAATTTAATGAGCTTTTAAATCAAAATACTGAACCATTTTCACTCAGACGTGATTCTCTGGAAAGCTCCTTTTACTGAAACATATATAAGCAGAGGAACCGGAGACGTAACTAGGCAACAAAGTGAGAGAATAACACCCGGTAGTTTCTATCACACACTTGCACTTCTGGCCAGACTATAGAGTGTAGTGCCTGGTGTTACTATTCTGCTTACAGTTTTACCTGGTAGACCACCTTATCTGGTTGTACCTTTCTATCTCTTGCTCTGTACAGCTCTATCCATTTTATTCCTAGTTCTAGCTTGACTTGTTCACCGTTCTACCAACTCTGTCCATTGTACACACTATAAACCCACTTTTGCCTTTCTGTACCCTGTACACCATTATATCCAACTATACCCATTACAAGCCAGTCTTTGTGGCAGACCACAATTCACGGTGCGTGTCTGTCCCGCTACTACCTTTGTAAAGCTCATACCAAGCGTAATTATTTCATATAATTAAACCCCTAGTTTACTCGCGACACGACAAATATTTATTACATGTTTTTCACTGCAGATTTGCTTCACTTTTTTTGATTGAATATTATATTTGTTAACGCCCTATGCAGCTTGCTTGAAAGAGCCAACGCGGCTTTATTCAAATTTTCACATTTCTCTGTACGGTTTTAATTATTAAAAACTTTTTTTACGATAGATAGTACGGAAAAAAAATATGTAGCTTCAGTTTATTAAGATGGTGGCGATAGATTAGCTTGCATACTTCAAAATGGCGGCGTAGCGTTGAAGTAAAAAAAATTGCAGCGAAGAGTTGAAATAAAAAAAAAAAAATAAACACCTGAATATAAATTTGAAAATAAATCATAGGGTATAGATAACTATCTTTTTGTGACATATGCACATTTATTTCCGGTGTTTGGTGAACACTTGAAAATATATTGGCTCTTATCGGATTATCTTATTATACGTTTTATCTTTATCCTTCTATTTATTTTTTTTTCATACTATGGTTAAATAATCTCGTGTATATAAATATCTCTACATTAATAATAATAATAAAAAATTTAATTTTTAGTTCAAGTAGTTTGGTATTTTTTAATACTTTTGAGTAGTGTCTTTAGTTTGAAAGAATTTATTAAATTAAGAATAAAAGCTTTTATTTTAAATAGTTAAATAATGAAACAATGATTTAAGTTTATAATTAAATTCTCGCTTTATTTAACTTAATGCTAGAGCTCAAAAAGAGTTGACACTTTTTAATTGCTAAGTTTGTTTTCTGTATGCATAAAATATACTTTAGTGAAGTATATACGGAAAGTAAAATTATTTAGAAGAGAGATTTACTGTGTAAAATTTTCGGGGACTTTTTTTTACACTTTTTTCAGTGTATAAATTGAAGTATTGATAAAAAATAATCTTTTTAACGTTATTTTATTAAAATATTTTATTTGTTGTACTTTTTTCCTGAAAAAAAATTTTTAGCTTGAAAATTTATATTAGTTACTTTAAAAATAATTTAAAAAAAAAGTTAGCTCTCAAAATTTTGTTATTTACTCTTATATCTCTTCTTTTAGAAAAAAGGACATGAAAAAAAGTAAAGTGTTACTTTGACGAAAAAAAAATGTGGAAAAATTATAATTTTAATAAATTCTATCATAATTCAATCAAGCAGTATCGATATTTTCAAAAATAAAATTTATGATGACTTGTTAAATCTAGACTTTAAATAAAAATAGATTGTTAAATCAGATGTAAAAACTTATTATGATCTCTTTCATTAACTTTTAATTTATAAGTTAATTTTAAGACAAGATATTATTAAGAAATAATTATAGTATTAAAATGTTAATGAATAATAATGATAATAATTGTCTACACAAACTTACAAATTTACAGAGAATTGTTGATTAGTTTACTTACTTATTTTTTATTTTATTTTCTTTAATTTTTTATGTTATGTAAATTTCTCAATACAAATCGTCACACAGAAAAATGTTCAAAATTAAATTACAAATAATTTAAAAACTTCTTTTACTGAATAACGTGTTCTTTAATGTAAATAAAATGTATAATTTTGCCATTCGGCTACTGCCTTGGTATTAAAATTAATAAATAAGTAATTAAATTGAAAAATATGTAAAATTATATTCTAATATTAAAACTTACCAAGCCAAGATTTTTATAACCATTTTGAAGAGCTAACAGTGAAGCTACTTGATTTCCACCTTCTACTTTCACTACCCATTCTTCGTCATTATTTTTCTCGGGAGTTTCAATTGTTGATATGCATTTTGATATAATTATTAAAATACTAAAATTTATAACAAACTTTTTTCCACTGAAAAATTATTATTATTATTACCACAAAAAATTGTAAATCATAAAAAAGCACATGTCAAACAAACCTCTCCATCAAGAATCGTGCAAAAAAAAATGATTAAAAAAAAATCACTGGAATATTTATTTAAAACAGCGACAAGTGTAACCAGTGAATTGCGAGTGACAAGTGATCTGATGTTAACATAGAACAATTAGTTTGTTTTTTTGTCTCGACGTCAGTACCTCCCTCTAAGTAAAAAAAGAGCAGTGGAGGGGATAGATAAAAGAGGAAGAGTGAAGTTAATTTAAGGAGGGATAGGAAGCAAGAGGCGAAAGAAAAGGGGATGAATTTGCAATTGGATATCCGGGTTCCTCTGCTCTCGTTCCCTTTCTACTTTTCCAATACGAGGTATCACCTTTACTTAGCCCTGTATTGCGGGGTGAATCCGATTAGAAGCAACTACGCAACATCGTCAGAAGATATCGAATCTCGTGGTTTCGCTCCGGATGAAATGCCACGTGAACGTGACGAGTAACAAAGTATATACATTAAATATCCTCCCGTGTACGTGTGCAGCGAGGAAAAAGACTTTTCAGGTTAGGTAACTCGGTAATTACATCCCGACAAACGCTGATTGAATTTGTTTCGAGTAAGATAATTAAATAATAAAAGAGATAATTATTATTATATTTTCTATTTGTTATTCATTCATCTGCCCACACTAGAGTAACACGTACTCGCCGATGATGTGGGTTGATGATATTATATAACGACGTTAGAAATTAAAGGGCGCATTGTAGTTCCGAATTGTTGAAAGAGGTCTTGTCTATTTGTTTAATTATGTTAGCTGAGATTTGCTGTTGTTAATTGCGGAGGATAAATTTTGTGTGGGATGTACACGGAGAGAAAAGAATAGATCTGATTCCAATGTAGAATGGTAATCATTCCTATGTTACATAGAAACGAGGATTTTTTAGCGATGAGAGTCGAGTGGCAAAGTAATCCCCCCCCCCCATTCTAAATGGTAACGTTGGCTATGCTAGCATAGGAATGATTACCATTCTACATTGACGAGCGGACTATGTAAATGGACGAGATTACAATTTTACCTAGCAATATTTGCTATGTTATTTATGTAACATTTAGTTAATAAGGTTATGATAGAATCCGTAAATCAGGTTATTTAAAATACACATACATAAATTAAATTAATTCATTGAAATAATTAAATGAGCACTTATAATGAAATATAATTTCCTGATTGAAAATTAATAATAATTCAATTAATTAAAATGCTTTGTAATAAACAATCAATAATTTATTTATTAGAATTACATTTTGGCCAATTATTATTCAAATGTTCAAATACTTACACTTCAATCAACCATTATTTACTTTTTATTAAAATCAATTTCTTAATTTAGTTTGTAAATTTAATAAATTTTTTACACAAAATAAGAAAATCATAAACAAAGTAGATGACGCCAACTTTCGCACATACATAAACACATACACGCATGTTACTGCGCAAACTTTCGCGCATACTATAGCATGTATATTTATTAAACTGTAGGGACAGCTATTCTAGCATGGGACTCATTACCAGTCTACATAGCTCTGATTCCCGTGCAGACTAGCGATATTTACCATTTCACTCGTTTCAATGTAGCATAGTAATCATTACCAGAAAAATGGTAATGTATCCTATTCTACATAGCATCATTTACCATTTTACTGAAAATGAGCCTGGTTACCATGTAGAATGGTAATAATTACTATTCTTTTCTCTCCGTGTACAGTGAGTTTTATGATTAAGCTCGGGAATCTCACTAAAATTATGTTAAAATCGTCATTATTAATTAGTTCACTATGATGGAAAAATTTATTAACTGTTGATGAATTTATTTATTTAGAAATTATTTTTTTTACAGTGAATATTTTTTTTTTTTTAAGAAAAATAGATTTATTAACATTAAATTTTTTACAAAAGGGTGTATAAAATTTTTTTGCTAATCGCTTTGCTAACACACAGTAAAAAATTTTGCATTAAAAATTTTTATGTTAAATATTTAACACTTTTTTGTGTCAATTAACACAATCAATGTTAAATTTACACATAAAAATGTTAAATATTTAACACAAAATTTTTTAGCGAAATGACACAAAATTTTTTACTGTGCATATTCTATAATTAAAAGTAGAAAAATTTTTATTCAAAATTTAGCTTAAAATTGGCAGATTTTAATAAAAATGTCTACTATTTTAAGTTTGACATCTGTAAATAATATTAACGCGTTTTTTTTTTTTTTTAAATGTAAAATACAATGATTTAATAAGTTTATTCCGTTATCTTGTCCAGAATTTCCTCGATTAGCGATTTTTAAGTTTGCTGAGTAGGTAATCTTACACAGAAAGAAAAATTTCTTGACTGGAGAACAAAATTTTTGGCTCAAGAAAGATTGTTGGCCGAAGTAAACATTTTTCTTGAAATTCTATTCTTGGTAAGTCATTTTTTCTTAATTCAAATTATCATAAATATTTGATACAATAAATTTCTATATTTGATCAAGATTTTTAGATACTTTAGAAACGATTATCACATTCAAGAAAAAGTAAAAAATTAATATTAGTTCATAAAAAGTAGATAATAATTTTTAATAAATTTAAAATATAGCGATATTATTTTAAAAATTTTGTCCGTACCAAAAATGTAGTATATTATTAAAAATATCAAATATTATTCGAACCAAAGTTTCTTAATTTCAACTTAAAATTAACCGCGGGTTTAATTACTAGTTCCATAAATCACTTAGATATAAAGTGAACGTAATAAAACAATCAAATCAAACAGTAGAGAATTAATTTGAAAAATAAGAGTGCTTAACTGTACTGAGAAATTTAGTTTTCATCGTAGTGAGATCTCAATGTACAAATAGCCGGGCGGAAGATTAATTCTAAGTAGGATTAAGGGTTAATGATGTGGTAAGGGACGAAAGCGAGTCAAGTCGGGGTGGATAGAGGCCTGGAAGGGTTGATTAATCGAAAGTATTCGAACAATTCTCTTGAGAGAACGCGAGCTCTTAATAACACCGCAGACCAGTGCCGCCCTCCAGCGTCTCTCGCCCAACTTCGGGACTTAAATTAAGCTTTTACCGACCGTTGTACAGTGTATGTTCTCTATACTTATAGTGTACAGTATATATAACAACATGGCCGCATCAACCCTTTCATTCTCTCGTTCTCTGATACTTTTTTGATCCTCTTCTTCCCTTTAATTGGGGGAAACTCGCGTTTTACGTTTTTCGGTGACACAAGCTTGCCAGTGATAGAGATTCAAGGGTTGGATAATTACGCCGTTACGACTGACAACTCACGATCATTAACGCAAACGAAACCAACTTTATCCTACCCTTTTATTTTTCTTTTCAGCGGTGATTTATAAATTAATAAATTAAATAATTTATTCATATGTATATTATAGGTAGTTAAAAAATATAGGTAGATTTTAGATTTTTTTATTTACGCCAATGTCTGCTGGCCAAATGACAAATAAAAAATACATAGAAAGTATATGATTAACTTACTATTAATGTAAAAAAAGTATAATTAATTCTAAGAGTTTTTAACCATACTATTAGTATAACTTAATTAGATTAAGGATAATTACATAGATTATCTGATGAAAATTCGTTAATAAAATTTTTCTAATAAGAATAAGAAAGAACCCGTGTAAAAAAAAATCGTCTTAAAATTGTCGTTCGTTTAAGATCTTAAACGTGACACAAACTAAGACTATTTTAAGATTCTTTTAAGATGCCAAAAAAAAAAAATTCCGAGATTTTTTAATAATTATTTTGATTTTTTTAAGACTATTTTAAGATTTTTTCAAGACGATTTTAAGATTTTTCTAAGACTATTTTAAGATTTAAGCTTTAAAATAATTTTTATATAGTTTTGAAAAATCTTAAAATAGTCTTAAAGAAATCTGAAAAAAAAAATATTAAAAAATTTTTATGCTATTTTCAGATAACATCACAGTGGCAGCTCCGGAAAATTATTATGGAGCGTCTTTAAATTATCTCAAAATTATCTTAAATTAGTCTTAAAAAAATTTTAACAAAAAATTTAGACTATTTTAAGATGGGTTAACAGCGACAGAGCCCCGGAACATTAAAACGGAACGTCTTAAAAAAGTCTTAAAATTGTCAGATAATAATTTTTTAACAATTTTAAATTCAATTTAAAAACATCTTACTCAAAAATATTGCGGTTAGAAAGTCGTAAAATCATCTAAAAATTAATTTTCACAACAAATTCGAGAACAAAATTTTCAAAAATCTGCTCTCGGAATTTTTCTTTTTGGCGTCTTAAAAGAGTCTTAAAATAGTCTTAGTTTGTGTCACGTTTAAAATCTTAAACGAACGACAATTTTAAGATAATTTTAAGACGATTTTTTTTTACACGGGAATAAGAAAAATGGAATTTACACTTTTACTTTTAATCAATTTAAGAGGATTAATTTAAACTTCAAGTATCCAAATTTAGCAGATAATCAAAGATTTTAATCTTGAATACAAGACTAGACGCATTTACAATCTCAGATGGTAAATTTTGTGATAAACGAATAGCAGTAACAACAAACGCACCCTCATAAAGGGTAATCGCAAAATTAGGTATCTTGAAGTAAAGTTTAGACATTGATAAAAAAATTAACGACTCAAGAGCCAAAATCTTGAACCAAGAATATCATTTTGAAGAAAAGTCAATAAATTTTTTAGTCAAGAAATTATTCTTTATTTGAGTAAATTTTTTTTGTCTCAAGAATTTGAATTTTCTTCAAAATGGTATTCTTGGTTCAAGATTTTGGCTTTTAAGTCAAGTTAAATTTTTTATCAGTACATCATTTCTCATAATAGCTAAACGATCGAAATATCTAGCATCTACATCATTAATAAATAGGTAGATAAATAATACATTCTACGGTTAGCAATAAATAACCATTTCAATTCAAGTAGTGAATATTCATACCATAAAATAATAAAATACATTGCTACAAAAATTGATGAATAAATAAATTGTCTATTGAAACTACTGCACGTCCACAG